TTCCACACGCCTCCGGGGGAGTACTGTGCACCAGCACTGTCTTGCTCACCGGTCACCCGGCAGTGCTGGCACAGGCACATGTCCCTTCCTGCACGAGGGCTTCTCCCCAGGCCCTCGTGGTCCTAGGACCCTCCAGAAACAACAGGAAGTGCCTGCACCGTCATGTGACAGCCACTCGTCACTCACAGCTAGGAACACCGAGCTGGCTTCTTCCTGTGGTGGGGCTGTTGTGTTCACACACACGGGGCTTTGTAGTTCAGGCGGCTCTCGATCTCACTACGTTACCCCAAGCTGTCCTCAAACTCTCAGTCACCCTCCTGCCTCAGCCTCCCAAGTGCGCTACCACACCCGACTAACTTCTTAAACTTTACTTTAATTAGTTTAAATTTAAATCCGAATAGCTACCTGTGCCCAGGGGCTAGGCAGGGCTGGTCTACTTGATTGATCCATGAAACCAGCCGAAGCAAAGCGAAGGGAGACAAAAATGCCCTTCTGTTGGCTGCCACAGACATCCTGGGACCCGAACCCGCGCCTGGGCAGGCTACACTCAGGAGCGGCTCCCACCAGCTCCTCACCAGCTCCTCACCGGCTCCCTCGGGCGGCCAAGAGGTGGCGTGGCTCCTGCGAGGCGCTCTGCTTTTCCAGAAAAGACTGACAACCGGCAAGCACCGAGCGGCGGTGTTTCTGGGAGTGCGGAGCCCACGCCCCCCCCCCCAGAGTCAGCCGGGCACACTGCTCACACGAGCGTGGAAGAGCCCGGCCGGGCAGCGAGCGGTGGCTGCTAGGGGAGGCTGGCAGGGGTCTGAGGCCAGCCACGCCCAGCTGGCGGGCGCTCTCCGTGGTGCTGAAGGCCACGGCTCCTCCCGCAGCGCCGCTCGCCGGCTGCAGCGGCTTGGGGCTTCCACTCTGAGACTGCACGCTGGGGAGCGGCTGATCCGCGGCGCTGCTGTGGGAAACTGACAACACCCCTTCTGCCAGCACGCACGATTCTAAACAGCTGTCATTTAAGGTCACCGGAGCCTCACAGACAAGGTTGCCAGCGCACAGCTGGCAGCTACCTGTATTCGGTTGGGAAGACCTGGGGAAACTGAGGAAGAGGAACGACTTGAAGGCGAACAGCAGCCGTGCCTCTCCCCGCCTCGGCCACCACATTTCCCAGGGCCCTGCTCACTCCATCCCTGTCCTCAGAGAAGATGGCCGGGCTCAGCCAGGCCTCCTCTCCGCGCTACTCCGGGGGCTCCTGCTTGGCTCAAGTCCGGCCCCCGTGGGAAGCCCAACCCATCTGGTAGCATGGGCTGAGCCCCTCTCCTGACCGAGGCCCCCAAGTGGCAGAAAGGGAGGCTCTGGCCGGACACCTTCATCTCCAGTAGCTGTGCTCACTTCTTGCTTCTGAAATGAACACCTGCTTCCTCCCAACCTGGACATCGGGATGTAAAGTCTCTGCCACACAGTCGTAGCCCAGCACCAAAAATACCCGCAGTGGTGCTGCCACGGGTGAGAGGTTTCGTTTCTCTTATGAGGGGCGTGAACAGCGAGAACGTGTGTTTGAAATGAAAACCAGGCACGCTACTGCCTCTGTCACCTGAACTCCCCGCGTACAGGGACGGCAGAGACCCAGCGCACTTGGCAGTGGGGGAGCAAACAAAACTGGGGTGGTTGTTTTGGGGGACGGGCTGGAAAGTGTCTGCGGGTGGCAGGTGCAGTGCGCATGTGCGCGAAGGCGCCTGGGTGGGGCTGGATCCCGGCTGTGGGCGTGTGTGATCTGTGTGGGCCGAGGAATCGGGGCTGGTGAACAGGACCGCGCAGGAGGGGAGAGGCCAGGGTGTGAGATGACTCATACCTTTTGGGATGTGGGAGGGCTTATCTGAGCGGGTAACTTTCGGTCCAAGGGGCTCTGTATCCACAGCACCGGGAGGACATGTTCACCTGTGGGGCAAAGCGCAGTGACACAGGAGGGAAACGAACCCCAGGCCGCTGGGGCCTGCACATCTGCACCTGTGCATTGCCTCTGGTTCTGCGTCCCAGAGGGAGGGGTGGATATGGAAGAATAGGAAGCAGGGTGCTTCCAGCCAAGCCAGTTTCCAGAGAGGTGGCTCTGGAGTCCCCATCCTGAGTGTGAGTCTGGTTCTGCCCAAGGCCCATCTGCTCCAAGCCCCCACTTCCCAGATGGGAAATGGAAACGAGGGGACTCAGCCCTCTGGAGGTGTAAGAGTTAAACGCTGCAATTCATGCAAACACTCGCCACACACGTGGCACCCAGGAGCGTCTAATACCACCACTCAGCATCTCTATGATCACCTCCGTCACCCCGGCCATCAGTTCTCATAATGATCGTGGTAAGTGACATTCATTGCATGTGAACTGCAGTAATAAAAATCGCAGTAAGTGATAAGAAATGCTACTGTATCCCCAGTATAGCCACATACTCTATTCTCAGCTAACCCTCGCCACTTCACAGCATGATCATCAGCCCTTTCTAAAATGAGGAAACAGAAGCGCAGGGAGATTCAGTAGCTTGTCCAAGGTCACACCGTGGAGCGCTGGCAGGGCCAGGGTTCTGGGCCAGGCAGGTAACTCAGGGAGCATGTGCTCCTGCCACTGTGGTCCGGGGCTCCCCATACAGACTGGGCGCTCACACCAAAAGCAGCGCCGGCCAGCCTGGGGGCGGGGAAGCTGGAGGAGGAGCTGGCAGAAGTGTCCCTAGTTGAGATGGATTCCATACCAATTCCAGCTAAATGTAGAATACATTTGCTGCTTGTGCATTATTCATGAAAATCACCGTTTCCCCAAGTCAGCACTGAGATCCAGGCTGAAGTTCGGGAGCTCTGCCGATTCCGGCCCCACATTCCCACCTCCTGTACAAAGGCAGTTGGGCTGGAGTTGGGGCGCTTCCTCAGGAGGGCTCCGCTCACTGCCCATCGGACGAGGGGAGGAGTCGAGGCCCCATCCTGCTCTGGCACTGGTTGCACCCCACTGTGCATGGCACACGGGCTTCCTATTGAGACGTGGGGGCTGTGTTCAGAAAGTGGCCCCAGAAGTCTCAGCCTGAGACCCCGGCCAGAGGGGTCGACTCAATCCTGCCTGGGGAGCGTGGTGCCTCGAAACCTCACTCTGCCTAATGAGATGAGATATGACCCTCCCCAAAGAAGAAAGACAAACTGGGCTCCTCCTGGGCAGGTGGGGTGCCGACGGGAGGAGTGGTCCCAAAGATGGGGGCTCTGCCACCTCAGCTGCAGCCCTGGGCCGGGGCTCACACGATCCTGGCCTCATGGACCTGGCCTGTGAAACGGGCAGGATCAAGCAGGACAAGGCCACTGGAGTTGGATGCGGGGGGTGGCGGCGCGTGGCCTGGCACCCACACATTCCAGGAGTTTCACAGAGGGGAGGCAGGCCCGAGCCCCTCTCCTTCCCCGGTACAGAGCCCATCCGGCCTGCACAGACCCCACGGCAGCCGGGAGCCCCTGGGGGGGCAGCTCTGAGGGCAGCCTAGCCGGAGCCCTGGAGGTGATAGCTGCCCAGCTCCCGAGGAGCCCAGCTGTGAGTGCCCAGCTGCCACCCACAACTGCTGCCTCTCCAGCCCTTCGTGTGGGACGTGGGGCCACACCACACCCACACACACACACACACACACACACACACACACACACACACACACACAGCCCAGGCCTGGAGCCGAGGGAGGGCTGTCTGCTCCCTCTTAGTCTACAGGGCCCAGGGTCAGAGAAGCTCTCCACCCTGCTCCAGGAAAACAACAGCACAGAAAGGGCCGCCTGGGACCAGGGCTGGGCACGGAGTCGACAGGCAGGAGCATTATATAATTAACTGCCCAGACTCCGCCTCCTCCTCGGGTAATAACGAACCTGCCTTTCAGTTGCATAAGCCAAAATAATAATTACTTGCCAGCCCTCGTTGCTCCTGGATGTGGCCAGGGAGCAGTCGCTTGCTCGGAGCCTTGGAGCCTTCTGTGGGAGATGGGAGGCAGCAGGCAGGCCAAGAGAGCACACGTATGCTCAGGGGATTTATTCCCAGCAGAAGCAGTCATTGCTGCACCTCACTCCCCTCCCGGGCATCCATGCCTGAAAAATAACCCAGCCGCCCGCCTGGAGGGAGGCTGGGAGCCACCTCTGGAGCGCTCCGAGCGGGGGAGGGCGCGGGGTGACTGGGGTCTCTGCCTGCGCCCAGTGCGCCCGTGTGTGGAAACTGGAGAGTCCCGGCAGGGCAGCTCCAAAGCCAGCCAAGGCCCCCTGCCCAGAAACCATCTTCAGGCAGCTCACTGGCTTCCAGCATCCACTCTGCCCCCAGGGTGGTGGCCTCCCGGAATGAAGGCGCAGAGCAATTCCCTCAACTAACAGTGAAATGATTCAGCCACTGAAAGGCGAGATTCCTGGGCTCTTGCTAACAGATGGGCCTCCCTCCTTCCCTCTGTCCCTCCCTCCCTCCCTCCCTCCCTCCCGCAGCCTGCTTCGACAGCGGAGCTGCGTCCAACCACCCAGAAGTTTACTGCCTTTCTGTTTGGTGGGGTTGGCATCCCCGCCTCCAGCGCTCTCAGGTGGTCCTTCTCCATTGGCCTGCGATCAGGATCAGCAAGGCCCTAAGCACTGCAGGAAAACAAGAACTGGAGCTGGGGCCTGACTCCCCAAGACACCAGGGGGCCAACACCGCGGAGGGCCCCTCTCCGGCCCCCTGCACCGTGGTGGCTGCCGGGGGCGACCAGGCCCCAGCCTGACCTTTCCGGCAGGTCTCTGGCCTGCTCCGGGCGCTGCGCGGCCGCCTGGCTCAGCGCCGCGGCCCGCACCCGGCTGGCGGCTGGAGAGCCCCCCACACCCTCGATGGCCCAGAGCCCCGTCCCCTCCACCCAGGCCGCGGGCAACCTGTGGCCAGGGCCCGCTGAGGCCTCCCAGGCACCCAGGAGAAGCCGGGCGCCCGCGGCCCAACCTGAGAGGCTCAACTTCCGAGATAAACAGAGGCGCGAGGGGGAGGGCCTCCTCCGCGGCACCCACCTCCATCCGAGTAGGTCTCCGTGCCGTAGCCGTCCTGCAGCCCGTTGCTCCAGGTGCCTTCGTACTTGGCCCCGTTGCCTGTGCACTCCCGCACCCCGTAGCGCCCCTTGAATCCGTGTGTCCACTCGCCCTTGTACACCCACTTCCCCTTGCTCTCCAGGCCGATGCCGTGGCGCTTGCCCTGCGCCCAGGTGCCCTGGTACGTGTTGCCGCTCGGCCAGGTGTAGACGCCCAGCACCTCGAAGCCGTGGCTCCACGAGCCAGTGTATTCGCCTTGGCCCTTGGGGCCGGTGCAGACGCCATGGCCGTGCGCCTTGCCGTCCTCCCAGCCTCCGCAGTACGACCCTCCATCGTCGAAATTAAACCTGCCCCCAGTGGACATGCATGTACCGCGGTCCGCGAATCCCGCAGGCGGCGAAAAAGGACGCGGCGCCCGGGGGGCCGGAGTCGTGCTGGGCTGGCGACGCCCGGGCCGCCCCTCGCTCGGGAGCTCGGAGGACGCGAGCAGCTCCGCGCGGGCTCCGGCCGCTCCGGCCGCGCCGAGTCCACGGGCGCGCGTGTGCCTCGCCGCGGCGCCGCGAGCCTG